TTATCACTTTACCCCAAGGCCAAAAAGCAATCTACTCTACCTAGCTACTAAAGTCTTAATACTCAGTAACTCCCTTGACATTTCGCTCAGAAGAATTTTTTTTTAAAACCCAAGATTCTCCAGACCTAAAGGTGACAGCTTAAGATACATGTAAAACCCCGCTAGTGCAGATCTTTTCATTGTCGATCCCAAATCACCTCACCAAGCTTGAAAAGGATAAACTGAAATGAAAACCTAGTTTTTACAAGACAAGTGAATCGTGAGTTCTTGTCAAAATTAATAATACGGATTGTTGTATAGATCCCACACCAGGTTTGAATGGGCCAAGAGCAGAAGGGAGAAAGGGAGGAAAGGAAGAGAATGATGAATGTGGAAGAGAGACCTGTCAGCTCTGGAATCAAAGCAGAAAAAACAAAGAAAAGTAAGAAATAAGACACATTAAACAGATAAACCTGGACCAGAGTAAGTATAAGCTGAGGGGCAAATAGAAAAGGAAAACCAGAAAATTTTTAAATTTCAATTTTAAGTAACTAAAACATTAGAAATGTTTTACTCAAACAAAATGGGGACAGATGGAACACAGGATTAGAAACTTAAAAACTGTAAACATGAAAACAAATGGGAATTTAAATCTCCACAGTAACAAACACTGCGGTAGTGGGCTGAACCACTACCAAGGGCAAAGGTGAACGCCAATCAACGCTGGCCATCTGAATGGAGTGAATGACCCCCAGTGTTTATGGACCATGAAAATAAAAAAGGGTCATTCACAGCAGAAAGAGGTTCAACGAACACCATAAAATGGCAAAATGTATCGCTGGAGAGAAAAAACAGGTCACCTTATTCTTATTTTATTCACATTAGACATTCATAATCATTTTTAGCTTTGTTTTCCTTTGGACCTCAAGTAAAAAGGGTTGAGTTTAATCATACTACTCAGTTTAGAGTACATACAGACTGTTTTACACGTAATAAAGTTCAGGAAACTAATCCACTTGAAGTCAAATATGACAAAATCGAGACCCCAGGTGTCGGCCTTTCACAGGTGTGCAATCCCAATGGCTGTGCTGTCTCTGGAGCAGCAGCAGCAGGAACCATGCCCCCCCAGAACCACAGAACATGCTGGGTGACACAGATCAATGAAAACAGCAGCCACGCTCACTGCCACCAACACTGGCTGGGGCTGACCTCCTCCTTAGTCTCTGGAGTTGAATAATATGAGATTATTTTAGGATTGGTCAGTACCCTTTTTCACCCAACCATGTAGCCAAACTATGTTTACCTCACCACCAAGAAGGCTGTGGATGGCAATGACAAAGATATTCCCTTCAAAGATTCAGCTGCCTGTTGTAAAGTTCTATATACCTGTCAAGAGGCAGTCTTGAAGGCTTAGGAATGACTTAAAATTATTGAAAATAAAAGTATATTTATAAGATAACTGTTAAACAATATCTCACCGGATGAAGCCTGGCTACTTCTAGGCTTACTAGCCTATCCTGTATTGACTATTTTTCATACTCCGGTTGGGCTCCAGTAGAATATGTTATGTGTTTCTCAATTCTTTTCACACTTTAACATCTCTGAAATCAAGATGCATCTTGTAATCAATGGTAAGTCACAACCTTAATTGGCAGCATTTTTCTTTCTTAGTGGTACCTATTGGTGCATCTTCTAATTGATGGCATCTTAAATTTAACTGAATGTGGTAGACAGTTTTCTCATCATTTAATCATTCATATGGCATTGAATAAATACTTATATATTATCTATTATATGTCAGACATGGTTAAGAGTAATACTTTGATGTGTCTGTGTACTATACACTTTTTTGGAAACTGAAACCAAAATAGAAAGTGTAATTTTTAAAAATCTCAGTTTTAAATTAGTGGGGGAAAAAAAGAATGAATATTGAAATAAAAATGTTTACAAACTGTAAAATCCTAGTAAAAATCTGTAAATACCCAGCAAGAATGAAAAGACAATCTTTAGTTCTGTCAAATAAAAATCCAAAATAACTATTCACAATAGCAAAGACATGGAATCAACCCAAATGTCCATCAATAAAGGATAAAGAAAAAGTGGTACATATCCACCATGGAACACTATGCAGCCAAAAAAAAGAATGAGATCATGTCCTTTGCAGACGTATGGATGGAGCTGGAAGCTGTGACCCTCAGCAAACTAACAGAGGAACAGAAAACCAAACGCCGCATGTTCTCACTTACAAGTGTGAGCTGAACAATGAGAACACATGGACACAAGGAGGGGAACAAAGCACAGGGGACCTGGGGGGGAAGGGTAAGGACCAGAATAAATAGCTAATGCAGGGCTTAATACCTAGGTGATGGGTTGAGAGGTGCGGCAAACCACCACGGCACACATTTACCTATGCACCAAACCTGCATATCCTGCACGTGTATCCCAGAACTTAAAATAAAAATAATTTTTTTTTTTTTTTTGAAACGTAGGCTCACTCTGTTGCCAGGCTGGAGTGTAGTGGCATGATCTCAGCTCACTGCAACCTCAGCCTCCCGGGTTCAAGCGATTCTCCTGTCTCAGCCTCCCGAGTAACTGGGACTACAGGCGCGTGCCACCATGCCCAGCTAATTTTTGTATTTTCAGTAGAGACAGAGTTTCACCATGTTGGCTAGGATGGTCTCGATCTCTTGACCTCGTGATCCACCTGCCTCGGCCTCCCAAAGTGCTGGGATTACAGGCATAAGCCACCGTGCCCGGCCTTAAATTTTTTAAAAATCCCACATATTCAAAGCGATGGCTCAAAATAATAGCATGCTAAACTTCAAAAAGTTCTTTAACATTTTAGTGAAAGAGAACATCTTACTACTCATGAAGCCACTTTTCTAATAACTTTACATTTTAACTCTGAAAAATACTTATTTATAAAGTAAAATCACTCATGAATATAGCCTACTTCATCCAAAATAAGCCAACATTTCCACAAATGCCACTTACTGGCATGCGTTCTGTCACACCTCCAATCTTAAAGTTCATCGTAGATCTCACGGTTTGCGCGCCGTAATACTTATCATTTGGCACCTTTAGTTCACCAAAGGTATCATATTCTATCCGGAAGGAATTTTGGCTAGCCTAAAGACAAGAATAAAACACTGTCACAAGTTGAAAAGAAACCAAGTATCAAAAGCAATTGCACCTTATCAGTCGTCAAAGAGAAAGAAACCTTAAGAAGTATCACAAAGACGAAAAAATACTATTTGGATTCTCATTCTCTTCCTCACTTTCAGGTCTTTCCTTGAGAACCCTTTGTCACACAAACTTATTAAATCAGGTGTTAAAGACAGATTGTAGAACTAATATACTATGCTGGTGATAAGCATAAAGACTTTGAAATACAAATAGTAATCTTTTCCATTTCAAGAGTATGCTTATTATTGGTCAAGATTTGGCTAATTCAGTGTATTTAGTTTATTTTACTGAGAACTTTTGAAAATGGTCTAAGAATGATGATTTGAAATTTATAAACATTATTTATATATAAACATTCATATATATTAATTACATATGTATATTCATATATGTAAGAAATTTATAAGCATTATATATATATATAAACACTATATATATGCCATCATGCTACCAAGTCAGTACCACACATGGTCTGCCTGTTAAATATTCTCATTCTCAATGCACTTTTTCTCTTCTGTAGTATTGATCACACTAATTATTCATGTGTGATTTATTTGCTTATTTAACTGCTTTGCTTAATCTCCCCTAAAGACAAGAATGAAACACTGTTTGTAAAACTCTATCCCCATAGGGACTGTCTTATTTACAGGGCCTGATAAGTGGAAGGCACTCAATGAACACTGTCTTTCTACTGAATGTATTCGTATGTGTTCTTTTAAATAAAAGGTACCTTAGGGCATCAAGGGTTATGTGAAATTCTCAACATTAGCAACAGGAAGAACTTTTAACAAAACCAACGGAGATTTTGGACCTGAGAATGGTTAGAGGGCAAAAAATATCAGAACTAGAAAAAACAAAAACTACCTCCATCTGATTTTAGCTAACATTACAATTCTAAGAGCAAGGCAGTGCTATTTTTTGACATTTGCATCAACAGGATAGATTCAGAAGTTCTCCAGTCTGCTTCCCTTTACAAAACACTAAATAAATAAAAAATAAATTTAAAAAATATGTAAAGGTTCTAAAATGCCCTAAAATTATTAGAGCAGAGAGTTTGAGGAATGCAAAACATCTCTGATTCTGTAGTATAGTGGTATATAGTAGGTATAGTGACCCAAACAAATTATCTTCAAGTTTAAAGTCCAGAAAAAGTACTGGCCCTTTGAAATACCCTAGATGGAGCATTGATTTAATCAGCACTCACTACATGGTATTTTCACATGTGCAATTTTGCTGAGTAGCTGTATTTCAACTTTGCATACGGAAACCGAGACACAAAGACAACTTGTCCAAAGTCTCAAAGGAAAAGCAGAGATTTGAAATTACATCTTAGATTGCAAACCTCATGCTACACCAGAGTGCAGAGTTATAACTCTTCCTCAACTATTTCTCAAACGTTTCCTAACAATATACATATGTATTTGAAGCTTTTTAAAAGCCTGCATCCCTAAAGGTGGCTCTAAAGAGCAAAAGGGCTTACGTAAGCATGTCATAACCTGAACTTGGATCTTTAAGTTCTTAGCTGTCTTTCTGAATAAAAAGTACTGATTCAGCTATCGTTAGGTCCTAGCCAATCTGCTCAAACATGCTTCAGAATACTATGCCCGTGGTAATCGGAATTTAAGTGTTTTACAAAAGGTATGGGGGAAACCACAGTCAGCCCAACAAACTGAACGGGCAATTTCAAAAGAAGTAAAATCTTCGAAGAACCTTCTACCCCATCTGGAGGGCCTGAAAGCAGTGCAGCGCCCCTTGGCGAAAGAAACCACAATTCAGAAACCACAGGCGGCCAGTGTCCGGCCAGCAAGGCCCAGCTACTGGGCAGGACAGTGCGGGAGCTGCCCCTCTGCCAGCACCCTCCGCCCACGCCGGCACTGTACTTGATGGCAGCGTCCCAGGGCTAGGGGCCTGCGCGCCAGCAGGAGCGAAGTTACCCCAAAACGCCCCGGCCTCAGCCCGCCAGGGAGGGCTCCGAGGAGGCGCCGGGAGTGGGCCCGGTAGGACCCTCTCTGCCAGCCGCCGTCCCTCCCCAAGCGCTCTCCCGAGCTGCGGCTCCATCCCTGCGCTGGAAGAGGCGTCCGGAGGCCGGGAGGCCAGCCACGCCGGCGCAGGCGCTGAGCCCAGAGTCTGGCGCGCCCGGACGCCCGGGGAATCTCTCCCGCCAAGTCGCGGGTGCCGGGACCGACAGGCAGGAGGGCTGAAGGTCACCGCGGGGAGGCCGGGGGTTGGCGGCCTACGCTCACCATTCGAGCCGCGTTCGGGGGCCAAAACGAGGGCACGGCAGCGCCACTCAAGCCGGGAGCCGAAGCCGAGGCTGAGGCTGGAGGCCGCACAAGGCGACGCGAGCGCGCGAGGAGCCAGAGTGCTCGGTACATGGTGCTGAGGCAGCCTGGGTAGAAGTTCTGGGAGGCTGTGGCCACGCCTCCACGCCGGCTGTCAGAAGCCGTTCCGCCCACCGGCCTCCGCTCTCATCCAATCAACAGCTTCACACCAACAGGTGGGGCGGGATCAATCGTGAATGGCCAGTAAAGAATGAGGGGGCGGGTTAACTTTCTAGTAGTAGCGTGGGGTTTAAAGCCCTCGGATTCATGGGAAACTAGAAAGAAGGGAATTATGGGAAAGGAAGTCCGGTTATTTTTGTAGCCGGTTTGGTTTTTATGTGTGGCTGTTAGAAGGCGGGAGTATTAGCTGGTCAATCAGGTTGTGTTTGGTTGGTGAAATATACTAGAAATAAATATTTATTCTTTTATTTATCATGTAGTCAATCATTACACGTTCTTGCTACTGAAATCCTTTTTCATTTCTTCCAGATTGTATCTTCTGTGTAGAAATTTTGGAAAGTGCAGCAAAATGTAGAGAATGAAATAGTAATTATTCATAATCCCACAACTGACAAATAAGATAATTACTTATTTCTTTTAACTTATCATTTTGAGATCTCTACAGTTTCCTTTCTCTTCTTAGCCTGTACCCTCAGAACTCTTTTTTTTTTAATGTATTGTGGAAGATGTACACAATTATAGGTAACCTCAGAGTTTTTATTATTTGCAGTTCTCCCAGTTTTTTGCATAGCTAATTTATACATTTTCAAATTAAACGCATATTGTTTTAATATAATAGTTGATTACAGGAAAGCAGGAATTGATATAAAATTACATCTGAACCACAGTTTTCTCTTTTCTCTTTTCTATTGCCTGAAACCAGACGACAGTAAAGAGAGAGCGATCGGATGGTCTTGAGGTCAAAAGTTCAGAACCTGTAAAGCCAAATTTATGAGTCAAACTTATAAACTTGCCAAACCTTTTGGAAACATTATGCTATTTTGTGACTTATAAATTTGACACATATTTAAAATATAAAAATTCAAATGAGATTGTAATAGTTGAACTACAATCAAAACACACTAGAAAACTGAATGCAAATTCTTTAAAACATTGCTAATAATGCAGTGACATTTTGTTTTCATTCTCCACCTTCCCAGCAGGTATCATTATTTTGTATATCATTATTTTGATGCATCCTTTCAGTCCTGTGTATTTTTTGCTTCACACACTAATATGCAAAAAATGGTTTTCATATTTTACTTTAAAGTTTTGCTGTTGTATAATTGAACTCTATGCTTTTAAGATATAGCCATGATCTCTTAAAATTAATCATATTGCATCACATGAATATGAAATATGTTATTTATCCAGTTTCTTAAGAACATTTTTATTTGCTGTTACACATAAGTCTTTAATGAACATACGTCTATCATTTCTTCATAGATCATCTCTTCATTGAGTAATGCTCCTCTTTATTGTTATTGTTGCTTGTCATTTTAAACTTTTTGAAATATTGATATTTCTCCACCAATTTTGTATTGGCTATTGTTTGCCTGATGTATATTTCTCATTTTATTTTATTTTTTGTTTCATTTTTGTTTCAAGCATGTTTCTTATTTTTACCATACAGTTGAACTTTTCAAAATTCAAATTAATAGCCTTTTATAAATAGGTTATTTTAATCCAGTTTAAAAATCACCTATGACACATATTATGTTCTAGAATTTTTCAAAGCACTTTACATGTATTAATTCTTTGAACATTGAAAACCCTATGTGATAGGTCTTATTATTATTCCTGTACATAGAAGAGAAAAATTGATGCCCAGGAACATCCAAGTGTTTATTTGTGTGTTTTACTTCGATGTATTAGTGAAACTGATTTTCTATCTGCAGCAGTAATATAAAGTTCCATTTTTAATTAAATATTCATTTTATTTAAAGTAAAATATTAAGTATATTAGGAAGATGCTATTAAATGACTAAAATTTGGGAAATGTTAATTTATTTTTGTTAATTAGTAATAAAATTACATAAAGCCTTTAAATTAACAAAGGCTAGACATCTTAATTTAGAATGACTCATTTTATCTATTTGAAATAATGTTTTTACTTTGCTTAGAGTTTGGGGTTTTTTTTTTAACTTTGGACTTGTCTGATAATAATATTGACCAGCTTTCTTCTTGTTGACACTTGCCTGGTTTGTTCTTGTTCTTGTTTTACTTTGCTTTCTGTTTAAGGTGGGGAATGTGATTGGTGTCCTGCTGTGACGGACAAAGGAACAGTGCAATGGTTTTCTCTTGCCTCTGTTCTAAATCTCATCACCTGGCTGACAAAATTGATAGCAAAGTACAAAAATGTTCTCATTATTCAAAATACTTTTGCAAATTCTAATTTAGGATACCTCCCAGCCTGGGAGGTTACCAGATGGTTTCCTAGAGGAAGCTTAATAGAAAGTTTGGAGATACAGCCATAAAAGTCTCCCAGAAAGTAGAGCAAATATTCAAAGAGGAGAAAAATAAAAGAAGTAAATAAAATTAGAGAAACAGTTCAGTATGTCCAACATGTGAATAATGTAGGGGAAACATTAGAAAAAATGGAAGAAACCTTAAAAAAATTCAAAAAAAATGTTGTAGAACTAGCAGATATGAACTAGCCAGAATGAGTTATGTCAGCAAGAAATGTTAGAATACCAAGGGCAAAGAGAAGAAACTGGAATCTTTCAGAGAGAAAAATAAATAACTCCCATACAAAGGATTAGAAATCCTTAGACTTCTCAATGACAATATCGGAAGCGAGACAATAGCTGAATGATGTCTTCAAATTTTTGAAGGAAAATTATTTCCAGCTTTATATTCTGTCCCCAGAGAAATCAAGTGTGTGAATAGAATTAAAATGTTTTCACATGGTCAAGATCTCAAAAAATTTACTTCTCATCTACACTTTTCAAGAAAACGCCTCAAGTAAGTGCTCCACCATAACTAGGAGTAAACAAAGGAAGAGGAAATTACAAACTTAGAAAATAGGGTCTTCAACACAAGAGACACATGTGGCATATTGCCTGGATGAGGCTATATGGCTGTGCACTTACCATAGAGAGCAACCATCTCAGATGGAAGCAGGTCACAGCCTCCAGAATAGATTTACTCAAAAAGATAAAAGTGCTAATGCCTTGAATATATTGAGAAGGAATTTAGCTGACTGGCGGAGAGTTTGAGGGTTAAATTTATGATAAGTCTTAGAAAGGTAACCAAAGGGAAAAAGCATGACAGTTATTATACTGACAAATAAAGATAGTTGTATTTTGCAGGAAAGGAAAAATAATCATTATCAAATTTGAATGGCCATAGTTAAAATAAATCAAACGTTGAATATTTATCTAATTGAAATATTGATGTAACTACACTGAAAGGATGGGAAGATGGAAAGAATGTGAAGGTTTGCAGATATTCGGACATGGTGATGAAAAAACATTAATCTTCGTCTTCAGTATTGAGAAGTCATGATCTAATACCTAAAACCATAAACTGAAAACACAGAAACAAAAACCAAGAAGTAATCTTCAGAGATGTGGAAGTATATACCCAGGAACTGTGCAAGGATAAATGGCAGAGAGGTAGCAAGGGCGATGACTGTTTAGGTTGGATGTCTTGCAGAACTTTTTTTATTCCTAAGACTATGTGCATGTACAGAAACTTTGCAAAACACTAAAATTACCAACTAAAAAAGTTAACCAACCTCTCTCTCCATTCTCCAGAAAAAGATCAATTCCTCAATGTGCTGGATTCCATTCCCCCTCAAAGACAGTACATACTCTTTTTCTTACTTCCTCCAGTTATTTCTCTTAATTGACCCATACTGTAAGTTAATATTGTAACTCTGCTGTCTCAGCTCTCATGTTAAAAACAAACAAAAGCTGCCCCGACTTTGCATCCCACTTCAACTCTCTCCTCATTTCCAGGACATATTTGATCACCATCTTCACTTCACTTCTCATTCTTTCTTCATCCTATTACAATCTGCCTTCAGTACATGTCACTCCATTGACACTGTCCTTCCCAGGGTCACCGTTGACCTGCGAGGTGCAAATACCATGCACAGTTAGTTTCCTATGTTTTCAGCAGCATTGACACAATTGACACCCCTTCTCCTTGGAAATACCTCTTTCTCGCTCTTTGAAATATCAAACTCTCCTTATTTCCCTCTCCCAAACTTCCACTTTGTTTCACTAGCTACTCCTTCACAGTGTTCTTTGACAGATTTTCACTTATAAATAGGGAAGGGCCTCAGGGCTCACTCCTAAATAGTCTTTCCTTTTTAATTCCTTTTAAAAAATGTAGTGGGACCTCAGGTACAGAGGAGTAAATACACTGACCTTGTGATATTTTATGGAGTATAAGATCCATTCTTGTTTTATTTAAATATTTCTTTTCTATTCCTATTTTCTATTCCTATTCTTACTCTCTTTTTTTATTTCAGTAGTTTTGGGGGAACAGGTGGTTTTTGGCTACATGGATAAGTTCTTTAGTGGTGATTTCTAAGATTTTGGTGCACCCACCACCTAAGCACTGTACACTGTACCTAATGTGTAGTTTTTCATCCCTCACCCCCTCCCATCCTTCCCCCTGAGTCCCCAAAGTCCTTTATATGGTTCTTATGACTTTGTGTCCTCATAGCTTAGCTTCGCTTAGCTTCTTATTCTCCTATACCCTTTCTCCTTTCAGACCCCTAGAAAACTATTATAATGTGTTTATTTTGTATCCTTTTGTTTAGATGTATTCCTGTAAAATTTGTACAGTTGTTTTGCGCAGTTTAAATTTTTATGTAAATGGTATTGAATTATGCATGCTATTCCCTTTGTTAATGATCTTCTCAATCAGTTATCTTTCCATAGGTGAGATCTTCATTCCCATGATTTTCAATACCATCTTTATGTTGATATACTGATGATGCCAAACTTATTTTTCCAACCTAGGTTTCTCCTAGCTCCAGATTTACATTTCCAACTGTGTGCTTAGTATCTCTGTTTATCTAACTCAATACTCACATCTCAAACTTAATATACCCTAAATGATAAATCTTAGTTGGCACCCGCCCTAGTCTTTCATGCTCAGTAAACTACCACCAGTTAGTCAAGCTAGAAACCTGCGCGTCTTCCATGATTCCTGAACTCTGTCCCCTTTTCCCAAACATATGCCTACACTATGCCAAATTTACTACACTATGCAGATCCTGGTCATTTTACCACAAATTTGTGTCTTGAATCCCTTCACTTTCCTCTCTTTTTACTTTCACCAATATCTATTTGTTAATAAAACAAGTAAACTAATAAGCCGGGTAGTTTCCTAGAATAGTGAACACAATAAAGGAAACAAGATGTTTAGAGAATGATTGAGAGGTTGCTTCTTTTAGGTAAGGTGATCAAGCTAAGGATATCGTATCTTAGCTGAGAACTAAGCAATGAGAGCGAGCTATACAGTGATAGAAGAGTACTCTAGGCAGACAGCTGCAAGTACAAAGGGCTTGGTTGAATGAATAAACAATTGTTGAGCAAGCTGATGTCGTCAAAGGGAGATAATATTCTGTCAATTTCAACAGTCTGAGAATGATGAAAACATCAGAGTAAATATTGTTTTAATTAATCCTTTGCTAAATTTTAATTTCTTTTTGTAAATTTTTATTATTTCCAATAACGCTGATTTGTTAAATATATAAATATGTGTAGAATAAAGTGGAAATATTCAGTGTCTGAGGTAAAGTATTCTCCTCTTGGAGTCATTCTATTGTAAAAGTGCCAGTTTTAGGGATTAACAAATAGCTGAATCCCAACGAGGATGAATTGCTTACTGCTATTGACACAAATTACTCTATAAATCCCTACTTATCCTACACGCTCAAGTTCTTCAGGCTCAGAGAATGGGGGAAGCTAGTCTATCAGTTCTTTTCTCCCTCAAGAATATCATCCAGAGAAAGAAGTGATTGTGATCTTGAACCTTCCTGAAGCTCCTCCAATGCAATGCTTTCTACCTGACTTTTAGGAGGAACAGCGGGATAAGTAGCCATGGTCAAAATTGTAAGTTTATAATAATTAAGCTTTGTTCAAGCTTTTGCTGCCCTTTCTCTTTCAGGCACTCTGGACTCTCATGTTATCCTTCAATTTCTAAAAGTCATCAGCTGGATCATTCTACTCAGATCTGTTTTCTCCTGCCTAAGCTGATACAAAAGTTCATTACCTCTCCCTTCCTCTTCCAACTCAAAGATCATCAAATCCAAATTATTCAGATGTTATTATAAAATGTAACTCTCCACAGACATGGAATCAACACATCAGTGGCAGATTGGATAAAGAAAATATGGCGCATATACACCATGGAATACTGTGCATCCATAAGAAAGCATGAGATCATGTCCTTTGCAGGAACATGGATGGAGCTGGAGGCCATTATCCTTAGCAAACTAACGCAGGAACAGAAAATCAAATACTGCATGTTCTCACTTATAAGTGGGACCTAAATTATGAGAACACACGGATACAAAGAGGGGAACGACAGACACTGGGGCCTACTTGAACGTGGAGGATGGGAGGAGGGAGAGGCTCAGAAAAAAATACCTATTTGGTACTAGGTTTAGTACCTAAGTGATGAAATAATCTGTACAACAAACCCCTGTGACACAAGTTTACCTATGTAACAAACCTGCAGATGTATCCCTGAACCTAAAAGTTAAGATAAAATAAAGTTAAAAAATAAAATATATCTATCAATTTAAGTTTCCTTTAGTTTGGATTGTCAAAAAAAATAAAAGCAACATGAGATATGAAAATTGGCACTTTTTTTTAGAGTAACAGTCATTTATTACTGACTCTCCCTGTAACAGAAATTGAGGACATTTCTGAGAGGTAATAACAAAATTATCCATTCTAAGAATGAACCGAGAAAACTGGGACTTACTATCAAAGTAATAATAATCATTATTTATCAGTTTATTAGCATATTGTTTACATGCTGCATAGATGTCATGATTCATTATTAGTCTCTTTTATCTCAACTATTGACTTGACATAAAATTTTTTGGCCCATAAATGGAGAGTTATTTGACTCACCTGATAAGTGATGTAGAAACATCATAGAACAATAGTTATCAGCATCCTTATAGTCAGTTTTAATGTCATAAAACACTATTTTAGCCAGATTATTTGTGAGACGGTCACGATTTGTTATATATAGGAGCTAAAGTATCAACATTTGAAAATTATTTTAAAAATAAGTAAAGCAGGTGCAATACTTTTTTACTCAGATAATATAGTATTAATATGTGCACTTCTTTGAGTCAAAGAAAAAGGGTATGTGTCTAGCTATTAAGCAGAGAATTGTATGTAAACTTCAGATTGTATGTATCTGTGCCCAAACTGCTAATATTAGTACTTCCATGAGAGTTCACCTTTCAGATGAATAACATTTAAAATGAATGTGTCATGTGTTGTGGAAAAGGGTTTTGAACTTCTAGGCTTAAAGAGAGCAAGTAGCCTGACGATCTCTAGTTTTGTCCCATATGGGCTATGTAGATACCGAAAGAAGAGCTATTCCTAAGATGGACCTCACTGATACTGCACACGGAGTGAGTGCTGAATCACCAGAAGCACAAGGCAGAAGCAAAAATAAATCTTCTCTAAAGCAATACACTGATGCCTGAAGCCTCAAACTACTTGCAAGTTGTTTTGTTTTTTTTTTTTTCAACTACCATTTTGAGCACTCAAAGTTTAAAATGCTCACAGGGAAATTAGATAACATAAGTATCTACAAAAGATAAATAACCATCAAAACAAAGCCACAGTAGAAATTATCAGACACAGACCATAAGACATTCATGTTTATTATGTTAAGTAATAAACATAAGCTTGAAGATTTTGACAAGGGTGCTGGAAACTAAAAATATTGTAGTATATATGAAAAAAAAACAAATAAAAATTCCAGAACTAAAAATTTATAATAATCAAAGTTAGGAACATAATGGATTAGTTTATCAGCTGACTAGACAGCAGAAACAAGAACTGGGAAATTGAATAATACATTAAAATACATAATACATTAAAATAACTATCCATAGTGAAGCACAAAAGGACAAGCGATGAAAATACAGATAAAAGGATAAGAGACAAGGAAAGAAACCAATCTCTACTTAAGCAACCCAATGATTTCCTACTAGGATCTACAAAAATAAATTTTTATCTAGATACATCTTAGTGAAATAACAGAAAGCCAAAGACTCAAGTTAAAAGATAAAGATTAAAGACAAGACTGGATTTTAAAATGTTCAATAGAATGATGTTTACAAAGGCCACATAAGAATAAAGGAAAGTTGAAACCAAAAGGTTGGAAATGATATAATATGCATATGCTAACCAAATATAAAAGCTAATAGTAATATCAAGTAAACTCTGAGGCAAAAATAATTATTTGCTTCATAATAATAAAAGCTTTAGTTTACCAGTAATGGATAACAGCTTTAAATGTGGATTGTTCAATATAGATAGGAATACTGAAGAAATAGACAAATACCAATCACAGCATGAGATTATTTAACATACCCTTTTCAGTAACTGACAAAACAAGCATACCAAAAGTTAGAGAGAGTACAAAAGTTTTGAGCACATGATTAATAAACTTGACCTAATGGATATGTGTGGGAAAATATATACACTAATTTCAGAAAATATATATATATATATTTCAAGTACACACAAAGCATTTACACAAATTTACCACTTTATGGCCATACAGTTAGTCTTAACCAGTTTCACATGTTTGAAAATCTACAGCACTTATTAGCTGGCCTCACTGGAATTTTGCTAAAAACCAATAACAATAAGAAAACTAGGATGTCCCAGCATTTGGAACTTAAGAAATAAACCTCTATTCCACCCTGTACTGAAGGTACTAGCCAGCACAGAAGGGAATTATTCAATCAGTCAGTGGGGGAGGAGTTGGGGGGGAGAGAGAGAGAGAGAACTACCATGATTGTGGTGAAGAGAAAAATCCACCATTCCGTCAATAGGAAAGAAAGACAAAAAAGGAAGGAAGGGAGGGAGGGAGGGAAGGAAGAACAATCATTGTGATTGGGTTAAAAAAAAATAAAAAAAATCTGCAGACAAAATTAATAGAATTAATAACTTTTGCAGTGTTGCTGGATACAAGCTCACAAAATGGAAAATAATGTGTTTCTAAATACTATTAATAGTAGAAAATGAAATAAAAGATATTATTTGCAATAAAATTTAAAAAATCAATTACCTAAACATAATAATAGGGGACCAAACCTCTACAGGGAAAGAATATAACTTTGTAAGCCTTGGAGATGACAAATAGATGGTGGGGAGGGGCACATCATATTCTGATTGGAAAGACACAGTAGTCAAAATAGTTATTCTTTTCAGATAGATATATAACTTCAAAGCAATCCCAGTCAAAAATCCCAACAATGTTTTTATTTTAGGGTTTTAAAAATGGAATTAACAGACTGATTCTAAAACAGATGGAAATACAAAGCACCAAGAATAGCCAATAAATTATTAATGAAGGGCAAGGTGGGTGAATTGATCAAGACATTAAGTATTGTATTAAAGCTATTGTAATTTGGTGTTGGAACTGGCATTAGTATAGGCAGTATAAACTATATGGAATGAAATAGAATAGAAACCTAGAACAAGACCCACACATATATGAACACTGGACCTACACCGAAAGCAATGCGTGCAAAGGAAAGTCTTTTCATTTAGTGGTACTGGGAATATTGGGTATTCATTTGGAAAACAAATAAAATTTTAACATCTATATCACAGCATTCTAAAAACAAAAAAGCTAACTCCATGTTGATCATAGACCTAAAAAATGAAAGGCAAATTATAAGTATTTTAGAAGACAACATGGAAGAATATCCTCATGACCTCAAGGTTATAAAAAAAAAAAAAAAGTGATAAAACATGACATGAAAAACTCTAACCACAAGGGAAAAGAATGTATTAAATGAAGAATATTCTTTCATCAAAAGACACCACTAGGAAAGCGAAAAGGCAAGCCACAGAGTGAATGAAATGTTATTTGTGACATATATAAATACTAAAGTTCATATGCAATGGAACTCAAAAAAGAAAAAAAACTTCCCACTGCCCCCGCCCCCGCAAAATTAACACTATCTGTACAGAGGAAGAAAAATAAGTTGTGAATGAACAGGTAAAAATGTGCTCAACTTCACTAATAATCAAAGGATTGCAAATTAAAAGAATAATGAAATATAGAGCACATCTACCAGACCGGCAAAAATTAAAAATTCTTGGCAATACATACATTGGTGAGGATAGAGCGGAAGACAAATTGTACACATTGCATCAAGTAAAAGCTAATGCACTATTTGGAATGTAACTTTCGTTTATTCAGAAAGGTTAAAAATATGCATAAACATGGCTGGATGCAGTCGCTCACATCTGTAATCCCAGCACTTTGGGAGGCCGAGGCAGGTGGACCACTTGAGGCCAGGAGTTCAAGACCCGCCTAGTCAACATGGTGAAACCCCATCTTTACTAAAAAAATACAAAAATTAGCAAGGTGTGGTAGCAGGCACCTGTAATCCCAGCTACTCGGGAGGCTGAGGCAGGAGAATCACTTGAACCTGGGAGGCAGAGGTTGCAGTGAGCTGAGATTGCACCATTGCACTCCAGCCTGGGTGACAGAGTGAGACTGTGTCTCAAAAAAAACCCCCAAAACCAAAAAACAAACAAACAAAAAAGCACAAACAGCATATGAAACCTAGAGATACTCATACATATGTACATGACATTGTATACACAAGAGTGTTTATGGCAACACCATTATTCATGATATTAAAAATTTGAAAACACCCCAAATGTCCATCAACAGTAGAATGAATAAATAATATATGACAATAAAAATGAATGAACTGGAAAAACATGCAACAACACAAATGGATCTTAAGAAATATAATATTGAGAAAAAGAAGCAAGTTATAAAAACATAAACAGTATAAGTTCATTTATAGGAAAGTTCAAAAAAGTCAACAGTAAACTGTTTTAGAGATGCATCTATGATAGTACAATTATATATAAAAGCAAAGGAAGTTGGTATGGCAGTTACCTCTATGAAGGAGGGGTGATTAACAAGGGGCACGTAGACTTCTGGGATTCTGGCAATGTTCTCTCTCTGCACCTAAATGGTAGTTACATGGATGCTTGCTTTACAGTAACTTATTATACTGTTCATTTGTGTGATAGTTCGTAATTTTTAAAATATTTTTTGACAATGATACAGTTTTCTACGTATTGATATTGAAGAATTCTGAAGCT